TGTAATATTCACGACCTCTATTTTTCTCAAATCTAGTAGCAAACTTTTAGAACAGTCTGACTAGAAATATTAATACTGGTGACACAAAACTTATTACCTCATGAATTACAAAAAAACTCTAGGAAAACATAACGTTCGAAGTAAGAATCAAAAATAGAAAAAGAAAAACGGCCAAATTCGTTAAAAAGTAAGTAAGTTAAAAATTGGTATCAACAGGATGTTCCGTTCATAGTGCGCGTATCGTGAGAAATTATTTCAACAAAATTTTTCAGGATCGCATTATAAACGGAACAAGCCAAATTAAATGGCCTGTGAGATCTCCCGATTTGACTCCCATGGATTTATTTTTCTCGGGACTTATTAAATCCAGAATCTACGGCAAGGATCTTAAGAGGGCACATAATTTAGTTGATTTAGAAAATAAAATAAGAAATGCTTGTGCTACGATTACGCCACAACACATCAAACGTAAGACAAGCTTTTATAATAGACTAGGATATCGTCTTGCAAAAGAAGGTGGTATATTTGAATCTTTTATTTCGTTTACTTGTTATTTTGTACAGTAGAATACATTGTTTGTTTTTTAATTTCTTTAAATCAATTATTTATGTGTTTAACTACTTTTAGAAAAATACTTTTTCGATTTTCGGTGGGCATAACCCACAATAAAATTTTTATAGGTTTTTAAATGCATTGCAATAATTACATATATTTACGTAGCAGAATTAACTCCCTCGATGGACACCCAATAGAGTCCTAATTGATACTAAAAGGTAAAACCTTTGCGGCCTTGACGACAGCAGTGGACTTGAGAAAGCGCAGTTGCACACTTACCTCAATGTATATTACCTATGTCCAGCTGAAAGATTTACGTACTGTATCTAACAAATAATTATTATTTACTAACAGTATCTCCAGTGCCGTAGTGATAAAATAGTTTGTGTGGAGATTGTGCAGACAGAGTTACCCGTACAGTATTATTTTTAATAGTTCCCAATTGCTACTTATGATACTTTTACCATTGTCTCTTATGAGATACAATGATTTTTTTAATATCAAAAACATAAACACTGTTGAAGAAATTAAAATATTGATCACATTTTTGGCGAAGTTAATTAAATTTTTTAATTGAAAATTTCAAATTTAGCTGCAATTGTAATTGTCTTTTAAATTTAAGTTTATCTTGCAATATTCGTGTTTTTTAGGCTTGGAATGGAAATTTTATTAAGAAATTTAATAAAGGCTGCTGCTACAATTTATCGACTATAATTCAATCGTTTTCGTATTACTAGTAGATTTTAACTAAGTTAATTTATCGTGCATCAGATTTTTACCGGTAGGAATCAGGAATCAGTGGTGAATCCTACCGGTAATTCATAAATACAGATTCTTTATACAGTTTCCCCAACATCTGCACTGAACAAAGTGAACATAACGGAAAAGCAGTGTGAGCTATATTAAAGCAATGCGGATTACTAAACAAATGCTTCATTATTCTACGAAGGAATATAGCAAGATTGGAGCATGACAGCAAACTATCATAACAAATAAATATTATAAATAAAAAGGGAATAAGCGAAGATGTATTTGAAATATATGGGAATGTTATTGGCTGACGAGATATCGACATACAGCCTTAAGTAACATTATTTTTTACCCATTATGCGTAAGACAACAAAACTCTTGTTTCTTCCAAACCAACGTACTATATTCGGTTTTGTTTCCAATCCTAGTAAATTCAGTAATCATTTTTTTGCTAATTTGGTTAAATTTTGATCGAGATCGACTAGAGGTGGTTATAAATTATTATATAACCAATCCCAATGTTAATAGACAGTGCTGATCGTAATTTAAAAACAAAGAATTATTTCAATATAGTTTATTAACAAAATAAATATTTCATCATCATCAACCTGTACTCGTTCCCTGCTGTGTATATTTCTCCCTCGGTTCTTTCGATAAATCAATTAAAGCAATGTTAATCAATAAGCAATTTAAATGTTTACTTTTGAAATGTTATGATCGTTTATAGATTAGTATGTTTATTGTTAGTCTTCGTTTTTTTAAGGAAAAAAGGGTGCAACAGTAAGTTTATTTGAGCTATTAATAGTGAGAGGTAGGAAATTTTGTGATGGATTTTTCCTACAATGAATTTGTCAAAATCAAACTTTTTATAGTAAATAAAACATAAATCGATTGATTCTTAATCATAGTTGGTTAGCCTTACTGTTAGCCCCTTCGTGTCACGCTCGCCTATATTTGAGCTTTTATTATTATCTTTGATTTTTGCTAGTTAGGTAAGTACATGCTGGACTGTATAATGGGATAACTAATTATATAAGTACTCATATCTGCAGAAGAGTTCATTGAACGTCACGAAAATGCTAGACTAAGATATACAAAATGAGTACAATCAAGTTTAGAACGCAATCATCATTGTATTGATGTGAAGTTGCGTAAGTAATAAAGATAAGTGAAAAGATAAGTGAAAACATGGCTTAAAATTTATACCAAGTAGAACAAATAAAAGAATAATAATACAAATATAACGAAAAAATATCTACTGGATTTATGTGACACAAGTTCTTAAGTTCGAAAAATTTAAACAAAAATTTTCACGATATATTATGCGTTTAAAGAAAAACAAAGATCAGTTGAAAGGGAATCCTTGCATTAGCAATTATGAAAGTCCCATAGTAGCGGACAAAAATCTTGTTGTATAGTGCAGATGAAGATTATAGTGTTTTCATGGCGTTCAATTTTAAATATTTTTATAACTATAAACCCTCTTCAACACGGCATCTGTGCATTACATCTGTATTGCCTACTGACATCCGATTTAACTTCTATTTATGAAATCTACTAGTAAAATAAAGGAACGCGTTGTTATTTCTATTCTCAGACTAAAATTTGATTATGTTTACTATTTTACAAAGTCTCTAAAACCCCACAATAGATAAGAAATAATATGCACTTCATGGTTATTGTTATAGCTCGTTACAATTTATGGTACGACAATCCACTAGAATCAAAATAAATACATCAATCACAAAAATTAACTTCAATGTTATGTACCTTTTAATCATAGACCTTTTCCATTACCACTTACTCTAAAAAAAACTTAATTGTTCTAAAAAACACTTCCATCTTTACCTTCTTCTTCTTCTTCGGGTTCCTTCTCCTAGCGGAGGTTGGAAATCATCATCGCTATTTTAACTTTGTTGGCCGCATTTATGAATAATTCTAATGAGCTGCAGCCGAACCACTCTCTCAAATTTCTTAGCCAGGACATTTTGCGTCGTCCTGGGTTTCTCTTCCCTTGTATCTTCCCTTGCATAATCAACCTCAGTAATACGTACTTCTCACCCCTCATTAAATGTCCCAGATATTGAATCTTTCTAATTTTAACAGTTTTTATGACTTCACATTCTTTCTTCATTCTTTGTAACACCTCCATCTTTACCACATCGCCTTTAATAATGTTCCCCCTGCCAATAAAAGAAACGCCAGGAAGAAATAAATCCAGACTATGAACAATAACTCCAAACCTAAACAGAAGTTGGCAATTGAACATTTCCTTACAAAAATGAAATTCCGGAAATTTACAAAAGTCAACGCTCTTGTTTCCGATAAAAGTGCAAATACAATAATCTGCATTATGGTACTGTATTGAAAAAACCTCCAGAAAATAAATACCTCCACAAAATATACTGTCGATATAAGGAACAACAGGTTTAAACAAAATATCTCTTAACACTAGAACGGACGGACCGGTCATAGCAACCGTTTTTGTTTTTAAAAACTTTATACAATTTAATCATCAGAGCCTTACCGTTTCTCAAAGTCTTTATCAATCATCATTAGATAGAGATGGACCAAATATCAAAGTGTATTTTTAATTAAAATACAAGTACAAGTAGGGTAAACTTATTTTATTATCTAGTACTGCCAATGTCGATCAATGTAACCGATGAAATTTTGACACATTGTTGGTTATAATTGATAATATATAAAGAACTTTTGTTTAACTGCATTAAACTCAAATACTTTTTTATTATTTCACACACACTTATATCTGATACAAGTACCTATGAACGTTACAAAACGCGTTTTTGTTCAGCTTGTCTTGATTTGCATGTACGTATATTAGCATCAGGGACACGCACATAATTCAAGCGTGCGTAGAACAAGCCAACGCATGCGCACCAATAGTGAGCGCATGCGCAAATATTTTCTTACTAGCTCTATCAAGATTTTATGAAAGAAATATGTAGATGGAAATGTTGTAAAAGTTGTTACAAAAATGTGGAGCGAAAAAGGTCTTACACCTATACAAGATTTGTGATACTTGGAAGAACTAGAGGACCTTTAAGGGGATAATTTGAAAAATAAACGGGAGTTGATATTTGCTTCTGAAAACAAAATTTACTCTAGAATTGCTTAACCCATTGCCAGTCAGTCAATGACAAATATAATTCGTGTAGTTCTAGTTGGAATGCAACGACGCGTATTATAAATGCTTACATTCTATATACAAAGATTACTGGGAAAACTATAAAAAGCTAGGCTTTATTTCAGAACTGGCACAATATTTTGTTCACATTCCTAAGAAAGTTAGGAATAGAGTACCACTACCAAAAATTACGAGCAGTGATATGTTCTTGTGAAATGAACATATAAAAAAATTTAAATGTGATTAACAAGAACATAACATTAAAATTATAAACTTCATGCATTTACGTATTCGAGAAACCAGAATTCAAACTAAAAATAAATAATTTCACGAAAATTTTCAGTTAAACTGTAAGGATCTTCGAGAGCATATCAATTTACAACGGGCTATAACAAAAGTCCCTTAAGAGAACAAAGTAAGAACAAAAATCCTAAAAAACATAGATGGTTAAAATCCTAATAAAATGATACATAAAATTAAGCCTATAAAAATCGACATACATTAACAAAAACAAAATAAGAAATCATATTTAAATAATTGATGTCAAATAAAATATAAGATTAAAAATATTGTTGCAGTTTATCATTATCATCCATGGGAGGGTCCCTGATGAGAAGTTGGGTTCCATTCCAATACTGTAATATTTCAAAACGTTAATAATCTCTTAAAATTAAAGTTATGCTTACACTCTATTAATATAGTATTATTATATGCTTATAATTAGAGACTGGATTATATGCAAAATATATGTGCATATATATATATATATATATATATATATATATATATGCAGCATATTTGTGGGTTTCTTTATAAATGCATATGATATTCATATTTACTTGATTAAGAGCATATTTCCACATATTTGAAAATATCACACAAATAAAATGGTTTTCTATACATATTTAGATAATAGTTTTTTGGAATTATTCATAGCAAGTACTAGGTAAGGTAACTACGAAATAATTTTATTACAAATATCTACTAAATCTACAAGTTTTATCGTTTGGGAAAACCCATCTGGGAATTATTTATCAGAAGAATAGGGCCAACATGCAGGTAGGTATTATACAGTAAATTCGTTTTTAAATTCTCTTTACCAGGTGGCAAAGCCACTTGTGATTGTGAATATTGTGCTTATAAAATGAAAATAATATCTTTTTTGAAAATATGCCGAAAGTAGCGAAACAAAAATCAAGTCTATTGCGGAGTTGGGTTGGTGGCAACAGTGAAATGGAGATTATAGACAATGAAAGTGTTTTCTGACTATTTGTGATAAAAAGGTGAGTCCAGTTATATTTTAACGATTCAAAAATTTAATTTAAAATCTCATTTTTGCAAGAAAATCGGTATACCTATACTAAACATGTAACAGTTTGACTATTGGTGGTAGTTTTAATTTCGAAAAAAATTAATAAGCTATCTTAAAAATTTGAAGTCCATAGTATTGCATTAGACTCCTATTTACTAAACCGTTTTATTACAGATTCCATGTGAAAAAAGATTCCAAATTTCCCAACACCTGAAAACGGCTCCACCAATATAAACTAAGGAATTCAAGAAACCACGCCAGCAGCTTCTGCAGAACAACATTATTCAAAATCGTCATACATCGACTGGGCAAGAAATGTTTGCAAAACATGTATGCAATTTTTTTGTAAGTTGCAATATCCCACTCTATAAATTGGATAGCAAGGAGTGTCAAAATTTTTTGAAAACATTTTAAAGTTGAAAATAAGTCAGTACAGGTACCAAGTTTTTCAACTCTTCGCAAGAAATATGTGAGGGCATCTTACAAAGACGTAATTGAAGGTATTAAAAGTCGGGTAAGAGATGAATATCTGTGGATAACTGTCGACGAGACTAGACGCCAAAGGTCGGCAAATCGCGAATTTAATTATTGGAGTTTTAAACAGTTCAGCTGATGACTCCAACAAGTCATATTTAATCAGCATAAACTGTTTAGAAAAAACCAACTATGCAACAATTGCTCGATTTCTTAATGAATCTTTGGACAAATTTCTTTTTACCGAATCAAGTACCTTCTGAAAAAATTTTGCTACTAGTTAGCGATGCCGCTTCCTACATGGTTAAAGCTGTTACTAGTCTAAAGAAAGTTAGACTCGAGTTTCCAAATGTCAACACTTTAATCAACAATTTAAAGAAAGTATTTTTAAAAGCACCATTACGAGTAGAAGTATATAGGGAGATGCTTCCCGATATCCCTTTGTTTGCATCCTGATCTTTCAACATTACATCCTCTGATGTTGAAAGATCGTTTTCCTCATATAAACACATATTAACTGACAGAAGGCATAACATTACTCTTGAAAATATTAAACATTTTATGATTATATACTGTAACGGCAAGAACGAGGACATTTTCTTGTGAATTTTCATTTATATTTTTTTATTAAATGTAGTAATAAATAAACAGTCACCAAGTTATACTATAATTTTATTTCTCACCAAATCTCAAGCCCTAAAAATTAAAAAACATAGTTTTTTAAATGCATATATAAATGCATATTGCATATAATAAAGGCATATTTGGTTACCTTTTAAGTGCATGTTGCTTGCATATTTTAACCACTTTTTAGAGCACATAATCCAGTCTCTATTTATAATATACCGATATGGCATATTTTCAGCTAACGTATAAGTTATTCAGTATGTGGAACAACACTAAATTGTTTGAATAAAAGTGAGAGGTAGTCACCATCTCGAAGGAATGGCTATGACTTTTAAACAGTGTTGCTCTATTTCTGTTACATCACATGCGTAGGCTCCTGGCAATCTTAAGCTTATATTCGAAGAATTTACTACAGTTCTCATTAAATTGAAGCTGTGCTCAATTTCCGGCCTCTTTGCTCCCTTTCAAATGACCCCTCTGTTTTTACTAATCTTACTCCTAGACACATATCGATTGGACAATCTCTCACCTCATTCCCTGAAAAAGATGTGATCCACAGTCCCGAAAACAGATTAAATTTATGGCAACATTTGTCCAAACTCCAATAAGTGTTTTCGAAAAAATGGTCTATCGACTATTTAAACAGACTTTAAAATCGTCCTAAATGGTTTCTCCCGCATAAGAACCTAGAACCCAACGATCTCATCTTGTTGATTAAAGACAACACTCCTCCCCTTTATTTATTTATTTGGTACTAGCAAGAGTGATTGAAGTCTTTTCCGAAAAAGATGGGAGAGTAAGAATTTCCTGGGTCAAAACTAAAGATGGAGTCTTCAAGCTCTTTATTATCTAATTGTGTCCTCTACCCAATGACGATTTAAATTAAGTTAGTATAAGATAATAATAATTGTAGTGTATTTTCTCTTCCTGATGCTTTCTTGTCATAATATGATCTGTTTATTTGTGTTAATGCTAGCGCTTCAACGGGGCGAGTATATTAAAGTTAATTTATTTTTCGTTTTCACAAATATTGACTTGAATCTTATGTGACAGACTGTACTTCTTGCCTCAAAATATTTGTGTCATAAATACCTTATAAGGGCCTTGGGTTGTAACCATTGACGCCGACCGGTCAACACTTTTAGATAAAAATTCAAGCCAAAACTACCGCAGATGTGATTTTTGTCTCAAGTTGAGAGCCGATGTGCGGCTGTGTGCCGTGCGGGGTACCTACGCGCCCTTACTCTTAAAAATTCAGTGAAATGTGCCTTAGTTTCCGCTATATTCGCGATCTCCAAAAACACCGGTATAACAATTAACAATGTGTTAAAGCAAACTCTTTAATTAGTAATAGTGGTTTTGTAAATATTCTCTAGTTATTAAATGTGTATATTCGATTAATTAGGCCGGTCGTCCTTTGGATGCGTTTTCGTCCGAATTGCGTTCGTCAGAAATCGGACGAAGAAGTGCGAAGCATCCCGTTTCATTGAAACCTATTGATGCTCATACACTGCGTCCGAACTGCTTCGTACGAATTCGGACGAAAACATGCGAAGTGCGATCTATCCGAAACAAATGGGATTTTTCGCAGTTGTTATGACGAATTGATAGTCGATTTGTATTTGTAACAGAACGAGATGGATGTTGAAAAATTAATTACTTTAATTTATGAAAAAAAGCCTCTATGGGATATGACCGATAAATCATATCACATGAGAGATATACAAAGAAAATTGTGGCAAGAAGTGGCAGTTGAAATGAATACTAAGGGTAAGTTAAATCAAATTTAGGTGTCAGGTACCTATGATATATGTATTTGCAAACAAACAAAATATTTGTCTTTGTTGTTTATAATGTAGAAAAGGCATATATGGGTAAGGCTCATTGAAATCCAAAATGTATTTGAATATTTTATTGATTTTAAATTATGCATTATACAATTCTTGAGATGAAAAATAAGTTTTAAATTTATCCCTGATGTCATAAGCTGAACTGGTGCCTCTGTTTTCACCCAAGGTTCCAAATCTTCCCGTTCTTGAATGTGTTTGATGAGGGATTTGCTCGAATGTACATGCTACTTGTTGCTCTCCTTCTTTATCAATTATAATGTTATGCAAGAGGCATATGCATTTAATAAGTTTATCGGCAGATTCGGGATTTACTTCAATTGATTTTTGTAATAATCTCCATTTGCTACTCATAATTCCGAATGCACATTCAACAACTTGTCTTGCTCGAGACAAACGCTCATTAAAAATTATTTCTGAAGGTCCTAATTTTGACACTGGAAAAGGTCTCATTAAATAAGTTTTTAGTGGATAAGCTTCATCTCCCAAAAGAACATGAGGTACTTTAATATTTGTTCCCGGCAGTGCACAATGTCTTGTAACACCTAATCCTCCGTTTTCAAGCTTTTGGCAAAGATTTGAATGCGAAAAAATACCACCATCACTTTCTTTACCGTACGCTCCCACATCAATTGCTATAAATTTGTAGTTTGGTCCAGCCACAGCTTGTAAAACAATTGAGAAGTATTGCTTGTAGTTTCGATACATACTTCCAGAGTGCTTTGGATTCTGTATGCGTATGTGTTTCCCATCTATGCATCCAACACAGTTTGGAAATTTCCACTTATTCCAAAATCCTTCAGATATAGATTCCATGTCTTCATTTTTCGGAAATGGCATATGTACAGTACCCAACTTGTCCCAAATAGCATCACACGTTTCGTGAACAATTCTACCCACCGTGACATCTGATATTCGAAACGAATACCCCAATGTCTTAAACGAGGAGCCCGTCGCCAAATACCTGAAATGAAAAAAAAAACGTGATTAATTTGTAACGATTTTTTTTGTTTCAGTTGATGAACTAAAAAATAAATGGAGGGGGCTGCGAGACACATTCCGGAAGGAATTCAACAAGTCGAAAAAACAGAAATCTGGAGATGGTGCAGAATCGGTAGTTACCTCCAAATGGCCATATTATAAAATACTGTTGTTTTTATCTAAAACTGTTGAACGACGTAAACTGCATGGAAATATATCTCCGCAAAAGGAAGACAATAACAACTCTTATTCCGAAACAGAATCGACATTGGAGCCTGATGCAGACAATGCATACTCTCAATCAACCATTCAAGAGTCATCACAGCAAATTGTAAATACAGATATACAGCAGCCATCCACATCTGGTAATGAGGTTAAAAGTACATTCAGTACA